GGCCGATTTGGAAAAAAAAAAAAAAAATATTATTTAATAATTAATAATAATAAAATAATATTATTATTTTTTATTATTATCATAATAAAAAGCACTAACCCACAACAGTCGGAATTCAAAATTATATAGAAAAGGCTCGAAAAAATATTTTTTTATATTTTTTTTTTTTTTCAAAAAGTCGGCCGTCCCCACCGGGCGGGGTGACCCAAAAAAAAAGAAAACAATTTTCTTCTTATTTTTTTTTAGTAATTTTTACAGGAAAGGGGTTACTAGCCCATTGTTCCGGCTTTTAGTTGACTTTTACAAACACGATGGCTTACGGAGGGAAAAATTTTATTCCACTTCCCATGGATAAAAAAAGGAAAAGTAATAAGACCAAACTATTTAAAATAAAATCAAAAAAAACTCAGATGAGTGTGTAAAATAAATGTGTACATGATGTGAGTGTGACCCAAGTGTAAGTAAAGTAGCAAAACAGCCTGTAATCTTTCATATTTATGAACAGACAAAAAACATCAGCAAACCCACCATCATGTAAAAAAATCACAGGCTTTTGTTTTACACTCACTTGGCAGGACGGTAGTACCTCCCTGGATGGGTTTCTGTCTACCAACCCCTACCTACTTTTTAAGTTATCCCCCACTTTGACTAGAGAAAACATAATTCTTGCGACACTACCTACACAGCTGCTTTGTAAACAAATCTTATATTTACATCAATTTTTATTCTGTAAGTGTATGTATCATGTTTATATGCTATATAATGGGTTTCATATATAATTTTGAGGAAAATATTATAGATGAATTAATGAAAATGCCTATATTGATGTAAAATAACACATTTAGTGTGCCCAAGAGTGATTATTATTACGTAGTATTGGCGTCATGAGTAGAGAGAGACTTAGTGATTTTAATGTGTACCTGCACACCAGCACAGTGTGTAAGTATCTTTAGGTACAGGTACACATAAGTGCAGTGGACCCCCGCATAACGATTACCTCCAAATGCGACCAATTATGTAAGTGTATTTATGTAAGTGCGTTTGTACATGTATGTTTGGGGGTCTGAAATGGACTAATCTACTTCACAATATTTCTTATGGGAACAAATTCGGTCAGTACTGGCCCCTGAACATACTTCTGGAGTGAAAATATCGTTAACCGGGGGTCCACTGTATAATTATCAGAGTACATATAAAATATGCAGTAACTTTAAAACACTTGAAATTTGGAAAGTTTCCTGACATAATAGATGTGGTCACAGAAAATGTAAACAAACCGGGTGGGGGCGCCGTATTTGAAAGACCGCTTGCCGTATAGCAAATTTTGGTCATAATTTGACATCGCCGTATTAGCGGAACGCCGTAAAGTGGGCCTTACTGTATTACTAAATTTATCAAGAGAAATTTTTGCTTTTCTCTTTGGGTCACCCTACCTTGGTGAGATACGGCCAGTTTGTTGAAAGTAGAAAGTTTTTCTTTCTTTCAAATGATACAAAAAAACAGCCAATAAAACTAAAAAAAAAAAAAAAAAAAAAAAATCCTCGAAAACACCTAAAAGTTGCTATTTTTAACCAAACACAAGGTCAGAGTTTTGCTTTTCCCATCATGTACCACGTGCAGCAGGATATTTTTTTTATACTGTGTACACTTACTGCACAGACCTACTCTCTCATATCAAAGCCAAAATTTACCACTCACAGCTTATCTGAGTGAGGCGAGCTCATTATGTAGAACTACGTGACGGACCCCTGGCCTCAATTACATAGTTCTATGTGATGGCCACTGAGAGGGTTTAAAGCAATATTGTTTCTTTTCTTTTCATCTAGTCATTCCTGTTGTGTGTTTCTTTTTCCTCACATCATAATTAACAGTTGGGTTAAATTAGTTTATGTTGAAAAAATTTTCAATTGTTCAAGTAAATACCAGGTCAAGCATGTAAGCATGCTGCCGCCTCTCATTCGTGCTGCCTCATTTATATGTTGAAGCATAAAAAACTTTTATTATGTTAACTCTTTGAGGATCCGTTCCATAGTTCTACAGCTTGTCCACAGGGTCCAGGAATTTTCAAAAAATTTGTGTTATTTTTTTCTTGTGAAATGGTAGAGAATCTTTTTCTGAAGGTAATAAAACAAAGTATGAAATTTGATGGAAAATTGATGAAATTACGCTATTGCAAATTTTGCTGCGTCAGCAATATTTACACATCAGCGATTTTGCCCACTTTGACTCCTATTTTAGGCCAATTACATTATTTCCAGTTGATCAATTCTTGACTATTTCACTAGTATCACTTCTATTTTATTGACAGAGCACAAGAAACTGCCCAATCAACTATTTCAACTACCCAATAAAGTGATCAGAAATTGGTAATTTGGCCAATTTTGCACAAAGTTCAAAATATTCCAATTTCAAAATAAGGTCCAGAATAGTCAATGCAGGCATTCCTGGCACTAAATAACATTTCCTCTGTTTATTAGTTATGTTTCCAGGCTTTACAGATGAATTCCATTTTGATTTTTTATTCACATAAAGACTTTTAATCACACCAAAAGATAGAAAATTTACTGTTATGCAATAATTGTAATAATTGTATAAATAATATCAGCACATTCGTGAGCATATATTAAACCCACCAGGTGACATGCATTGCATACATGACGTCATCTGTTTACTCTCGAACGTTAGGCCAAAATCAAACATTTCTGTTACTTTGAGCTACAATTTCATAAGAACATAAGAACATAAGAAAGGAGGAACACTGCAGGAAGCCTGTTGGCCCATACTAGGCAGGTCCTTTACAATTCATCCCACTAACAAAATGTTTCCCCAACCCAATTTTCAATGCTACCCAAGAAATAAGCTCTGATATGCAAGTCCCACTCAAATCCAACCCCTCTCACTCATATACTTGTCCAACCTAAATTTGAAACTACCCAAAGTTCTAGCCTCAATAACCCAACTAGGTAGACTGTTCCACTCATCAACTACCCTATTTCCAAACCAATACTTTCCTATGTCCTTTCTAAATCTAAACTTATCTAATTTAAATCCATTACTGCGGGTTCTCTCTTGGAGAGATATCCTCAAGACCTTATTAATATCCCCTTTATTAATACCTATCTTCCACTTATACACTTCGATCAGGTCTCCCCTCATTCTTCGTCTAACAAGTGAGTGTAACTTAAGAGTCTTCAATCTTTCTTCATAAGGAAGATTTCAAAATGCTATGTATTAATTTAGTCATCCTACGCTGAATGTTTTCTAACGAATTTATGTCCATTCTGTAATATGGAGACCAGAATTGAGCTGCATAATCTAGGTGAGGCCTTACTAATGATGTATAAAGCTGCAGTATAACCTCTGGACTTCTGTTGCTTACACTTCTTGATATAAATCCCAATAATCTATTTGCCTTATTACGTACGCTTAGGCATTGCTGTCTTGGTTAAGGTTGCTGCTTACCATAACCCCTAAGTCCTTTTTGCAATCTGTATGGCTAAGTTCTACATTATTTAACTTATAAGTGCTAGGGTTATGGACACTCCCCAGCTTCAGAACCTTGCATTTACCTATATTGAACTGCATCTGTCACTTTTCTGACCAAGAATGAGTTTGTCTAAATCCTCCTGAAGTTCCCTAACATCTACGTTTGAATCAATTATCCTACCTATCTTTGTGTCATCGGCGAATTTGCTCATATCACTAGTAATTCCTTCATCAAGATCATTGATATATATTATAAACAACAACGGGCCCAAGACTGATCCCTGTGGAACGCCACTTGTTACTGATCCCCACTCGGATTTTAACCCCATTTATGGACACACTCTGCTTCCTGTCTGTGAGCCATGATTCGATCCACGAGAGCACCCTTCCCCCAATGCCATGAGCTGCTACTTTTCTCAACAGTCTTTGGTGCGGAACTCTATCAAATGCCTTACTAAAATCTAAGTAAATAATATCAAATTCTTTATCGTGGTCAACAGCCTCAAAAGCTTTACTGAAGAAAGTTAATAAATTAGTTAGACAAGACCGGCCTCTTGTGAATCCATGCTGAGTATCATTAATCAAGCTATGCTTATCGAGATGGCTTCTTATAATCTCAGCTATAATTGACTCTAGTAATTTGCCTACAATTGAAGGTCAGGCTTATTGGGCGGTAATTTGACGGTAACGACTTGTCCCCTGTTTTAAAAATAGGAATTTTCAGTACTAAAAACCAAAAAAATCATCTCTATTTCTGTAATATATCTTCCATTTCTATCAAATGAGACAAGAAAACTGCGAATACAATCGTAAAAACTATACAAAAATACACCGCAAAGTTGCTGTTTTAATCCAAAAACACAGTCCCAGTTTTTATTTCTCATTATGCAGTGCGTGCTGCAGGATTTGTTTCATATGGTGCACACTTACCAGACAGATGCATTCTCTCATATCTAGGCCCAAATTTACTGCTCACAGCTTATCTGAGTGAGCTTAGCTCATGACAGTACTACGGCTTGAACCCTGGCTTCAAAGTCGTAGAACTGTGGGACGAACCCTCAAAGGGTTAAGGAATTCTGCTGGCCATATATTACAGTTCCAGCCTCATTGGTTGCCCGATTTTTGAATTTTTGCTTTAGAGTTGAAATTTCCACTGACAATACTTTCTTATTATTGTGGCTACTTTTCAGTAACAGTTTTCCTATTATATTAAGTAATCCCTCATTTATCTCGTAAAGTCTCTTTTCCAAGTCTTACTAACTGATGTATTGTATGCACTGACTACTAAAACAATTTCATCTCTATTTTAGATTTGTAACACTATAACTGTGCCAAGTGCTCATACAGAGACATGAATGTGCAACTATTTTCTTTACAAATATTTCAAACAGCATAAAAAAGTAATGAAATGTTATTTACTACAGTATGAGCTCAATAAAGTTATAACAACAACCTGGCGTGTCCGTGGTACTGGATTTAACAAACCTATTTGTTCTAATATGAACACGAATTCCTTCAATGATTTGTGCTATCAGTCTCGCATGTTCTCTTGCTGCCATTTTTTTTTTAAAGCTCTTCAGCTTTCTGATAAGCCACACAAAATACAATCTTCTGAGCTTGTAATGTAAGTGGCTTCACTCCTGTAAAGTAAAATATCTTTCATGAAATATTATATACAGTTTTGAAGTTTGCAAGACATCTTTTTGTGGAAGGCTCAAAGAGCAAAGCTTTATTTAGAAAAGCTACCTGCCAAAACTTAGTACATCCCCTCTCCATCACACATTTTCCCTTATTTTTACATTATAAAAATCTCTCCTTTACAACCTCTTTATATTATTCCTCTTCCCACCCTCCTTTAACCACTAGCTTCTAATGCGTGCCCTAGCACTGTATTCTTAAATCTACCCTATATCTTTATAATTTCCTGCTCATTAACTGTACTTGCTCTAGCCCGGTTTTTTTTCTATTAGTAGCTTATATAAACCCAATAAAATGTCTCTTTTTGCTCATTCACTTTCACTTTTATCTCACCCAGTGATGCTATTTGCTTTGTACTCCATTAGCTTTTATTCTTACTGTAGCTACCACTAAATAATGATTTATTTTTTCCTTATCTATCACTCCTCTAAAAACATGTCCATGGAAAAGTCTATTTATCAACCTTTTTTCCATCAATTAAAATTAGTCTAGCAAACTGTTGGCATTACACACTACATCACATCCTATATATTTATATAACCTTTCTTTTAAAATATTATAGTATTACTATTACCAAACCTTCTTTTTTACATAATTCAATTATAAATCCCACTTATCAATTAAATCTGGCATTAAGTGAACACAGATAAGAATAAGGTGATGAGGGTATCAAACATTTTAGATAAAGAAAAACTGGATATCACATTGGAGGGACGGAGCATGGAAGAAGTGAATGTTTTCAGATATTTGGGAGTTCACTTGTCAGAGGATGGGTTTATGAAGGATGAGGTAAACCATAGAACTGATGAAGGAAAACAGGCGAGTGATGCTTTGAGGTGTCTGTGGAGACAAAGAACGTTATCCATGGAGGCAATGACAGGAAATGTACGAGAGTATAGTGGTATCAACACTCTTATATGGATGTGAAGCATGGGTTGTAAATGCTGCAGCAAGGCAGCGGCTGGAGGCAATGGAGATGTCGTATTTAAGGGCAATGTGTGGTGTAAATATTATGTAGAGAATTTGTAGTGTGGAAATTAGGAGGAGGTGTGGAGCTATTAAAAGTATGTCAGAGGGCTGAAGAGGGACTGTTGAGATGGTTTTGTTATTTAGAGAGAATGGAACAAAGTAGAATGATTTGGAGAGCGTATAAATCTGTAGAATGAAGGCAGGGTAAGAGTCATTCCTGAAAAGGTTGGAGGGAGGGGGTACAGGAGGTTTTTGTGAGTGAGGGGCTTGGACTTCCAGCAAGCGTACATGAGCGTGTTAGATAGGAGTAAATGGAGACGAATGGTTTTTGGGACCTGACGACCAGTTGGAGTGCGAACAGGATAATATTTTGTGAAGGGATTCAGGGAAACTGGTTAGCCAGACTTGAGTCCTGGAAAGGGGAAGTACAATGCCTGCACTTTAAAAGAGGGGTTTGGGATATTGGCAGTTTGGAGGGTCATCTAAGCTGTTGTGTCTGAGCACCTCTGCAAAAGACAGTGATTATGTGTGAGTAATGGTGAAAGTACTGAATGATGACAAAAGTTTTTTCTTTCTTTTCGGGTCACCCTGCCTTGGTGGGAAACGGCCGACATATTAAAAAAAAATATTAAGCTTAACTACTATGCCCTCTACAATAGCCTTACATTAGCATTTAGATTATGCACAAAAACTATTTTTCAATTACAATGGTTCCTTGACTTACGAGTTTAATTCGTTCCGTGACCAAGCTTGTAACTATATCAAATCAATTTTTCTCATTGAAATTAATTGAAATGCCATTAATCCATTCCAGCGGAATTCCTGGCTCTCAGGAGGCAGGAGAAAATATTTCAATATAATGCTAATATCAACTCTATGGCTTATTTATCTATCACAATTGATCTAATATGACGTAATAAACAACATAAATAACATAGAAACATGATACATACTCTAGAATGAATAAAATATGTCATTATGTGACAAGTGGTGGCGGCCACTCCTAAGGTAAAAATATTCTGACACTATCTTCCCATTTTTACCCGTCTGAGGTCTTATTTTAACCCTTAACTCTTTCAGGGTTGAGAGGCTCTCTTCTAAACTTGTTCTCAGGGTCGAAAATTTTTCGGAAAAAAAAAAAATTATTTTTCTTGTGAAATGAGAGAGAATCTTTTCCCAATCATAATGACACTAAAAGTATGAAATTTGATGGAAAACTTACGGAATTATGCTCTCGCGAAGTTAGCCCAATTTGAACCCTATTTTTGGCCAATTCCTGTGTACTGGTCAACAAAAATCATATTTATTTCACTAGAACTCCATTTTTTCTATCGAATGAGTACAAGAAACCACCCATTTACCAATTTCAACTATCCAATAAAGTGGTTAGAAATTAGCAATTTTGCCAATTTCACACAAATTTCAGAAGATGCCAATTTCCAAATAGGGTCCAGAATAAACAAGAAAGACATTCCTGCCACTAAAATAACAAGTTCTCTGTTCGTTAGTCATGTCCCCAGGCCCCTCTTATATTTCTTTTCTTTTCCACTTTGAATTTTTATTCTTACAAAAAATAGATTTACTGTTATGCAGACTATTACATTAGTGTAGAAATGGTATAAATAATATCAGCACACGTGTGAAAGAATATTAGACTCACCAGTTGACGTGTATTGGACCCTTGGCATGATTTGTTTACTTTTGAACTTTGGTAAAAATCGAACATTTCTGCTACTTTGAGCTCAATTTCAAGGTACTTTTCATTGTGAAACCAGTCAAAATCATCTCAATTTCTGTAATAAGTCTTCCATTCTATAAAATGAGACCAGGAAAACTAAAATACAACCATAAATACCATATGAAAATACAGTGCAAAGTCGCTGTTTTAATCCAAAAACACGGTCAGTTTTTTTTTTCTCATTATGCACTGTGTGCTGCAGGATTTTTTTTATACTGCGCACACTGACCACACAGACCCATTCTTTCATATGTAGGCCTACCAGCTTTCTCTCACTAGATTTGAAGGTGCTAGAATTAAGGCGTACTAGTAGGTCAATAGCCCTGGTGCATAAGCTGTACTAGTACATCGAAAACCCTGAAAGGGTTAAGGGGGGCCGGACACTTCGCCGTGTGGAGTAAAAAAAAAACTTGAAAAAAATACGAAAATTGAGTTGTTACCAAAAAACAGCTGAACTTTCTGGCTACACTCTGGTATAATTATCATCCTTGTACGATGTTTCTAAAAGGAATTATAGTAATTTATAACATGCATGGTGACAGCGCATTGCGTAACAAGCGCTGATGTGGCATTTTTTTTTTTTTCCCCTGTGTTATTTTTATCATTTTCTTATATCTTTATGTCTAATATAATACAAATTCACCGTCTATCATGCCAGAGTGGGCGGAGCTAATATGGTCAAGGAACCAATCGGAAACCTCCCCTGGGAATAGTTCCCAAGATGGCCGACACCTCCAGCCAACAAAATATTCCATACCCACGCTAATATCAATTATAAGGCTTATTTACCTATCACAACTGATCTAATATGACATAATGCAATATAATAATAGCACAGAAACATAAAAAGTACCATACCCCCGGCCGGGATTGAACCCGCGGTCATAGAGTCTCAAAACTCCAGCCCGTCGGGTTCAATCCCAGCCGGGGGTATGGTTTGTTTGCAATCGTGTCATTACGATTTCTTAAGTCATAAAAAGTACACCAGAAAAATAATATATAGCATAATATGACGCCCCAGAGGAAAAAAAAGTTCTAGCGATATATCCCATGAAGGTGAAAGACCCATTCTCTCGTCACTGACTAGAGAAAATGTAGATTTACAATGGTTAACTGTAATAAACACTCGTAGGTCACAGAAAAAGTGTAAAAGAAAGTGAATTTTTTGGGGAAAAATAAAAAATTCCCCGGGCACCTGGGGTGCTGAGCGCTGTGGCCTATATCTCAGAAGTTATTTTCCTATTTAGGGCCGCTCCATCCTTATTTATGAATGAATTGACTTGATTTTCACAACAAACATAGAAGAATGATTGCTTTACTAGTGGCAGTGTTCCTCTCTGAAGTATCCCAAATATTTTTAGATTTGTGTGGGCAACAAGACCGACATCTTCCAAAATGTCAAAAAAGTTATGAAACTTTAATTTTTTTTAGCATGAAGATAAGGATCCTTTTAGAACTGGTACACGGAACTTAATGGAATTAGAAGTGTTCTATCAGCAGCAAGTGTCAAAACCACTTTTTCAAGTACCACTGAGTCCTTGAGAACTGCCAAATGTAATTTTTCATAAATTTTGCATATTTCATTTCCTTTTTGGCCGATATGTTTGAAACTTCAGCACAGCATACTCGATATAAGCTTCTAATAGTACACCAAAAATGAACGTAATAGGTTGAAAAATAAAGGGGTTGAGATCACAGGGTTACGGCCTCCCTCAAACTGTCCAAACGAAGATCTACGTTCGATTTCACATTGTTTTTTACGTAAAAAAAAAGTAGATCTACGTTTGGAGCGCTAGGCGTGCAAATGTAGATCTACGTTTGGACAGTTTAAGGGTTAAGAAAAAACAGTGTTTGTGAAGCTAGCTGCACTAGATCACTAGTTTCATAAGGAAAACACTGAAACAAAAGCAATTTTCTCATGTTTTTCTATGATATCATGCTATGATATCATGGACATCATCATCATCATCATCTCAGCACTGTCTTTTGCACTTATGTACTTTCTTAGGACCCATGGTTAGAAAAAAGAAATTTGGCAAAATAACTGCACAAAATGCTGGGATGCTGGGCGGATGTTGTGGCGTTTGCTGCGCCAACTAGTAGTTATGTATCTGAAGCTTGCTTGTAACTCAGATTTTGGCACGCAACTCAAAGCAAAAAATCGACCAAGCGACGGCTCGTAACTTGGAAAACTTGGAAGTTGGGGCACTCATAAGTCAAGGTACCACTGTGGTTCAAAACTCTCTAAACATTTACTTAACACCTAAAAATCTCTCTGTTTCTTCTACACTTTGCTTACCCCCAGATATATAAATGTTTACTATAATCTGCTTTTTGCATCCTAATTTTATTCTAATCCACATAATTCTTGAATTTAAGTACAGTGGACCCCCCGGTTAACAATATTTTTTCATTCCAGAAGTATGTTCAGGTGCCAGTACTGACCGAATTTGTTTCCATAAGGAATATTGTGAAGTAGATTAGTCCATTTCAGACCCCCAAACATACCCGTACAAACGCACTTACATAAATACACTTACATAATTGGTCGCATTGGGAGGCGATCGTTAAGCGGGGGTCCACTGTAATTTAAAAATCTGGAGTAAAATAAATAATAAAAATTACTGTAAATTTTTAGATGATTTGTATAAACTGAGCAAATGGAGTGACAAATAGATGTTGATAAATGTTATGTAATGGAAACTGAAGAGAGCACAATCAGATCACATACAGATTATAGACTGTGTAACGAAATTTTGAAATTATCATACAGAGAAAGATATCTAGGAGTTATCAGTAAAAAAACTGACCAAATCATATAAATGAAATTGTGAGAAATGCATGTTACACTGGCTAAGCTGAAAAAAAATCTTCACTGACTCACTCTTCAGATATGTGGACTACTTTCAGTTTACTTAGGGCTGAATTATAAATATTTTATAAGAATGTAACAGACCTTATGCCATTGCAACCTTGCAACCTAACAATAATTGCTGGCTAATGGGTGGGCAAGAGAGAGTACAGGAAATGAGATTGAAGAGGTATGGGATAAATTTAAGAATACCGAGGCAGAGTGCACAGCAGAAGTTTATAGTTACGAGAGGGAGAGCCACAACAGAGTGCAACACAAGAAATAAACAGCTCACTGACAGCCCACGTGTGCAACTCAGTCTGAGTGGAAGCTCCAAAGAAATGAAAGGCCAAAAAAAATAGAGCTCTTTATGACAAGATTATAGAAGTTCCCTATCTGCCAACTGCTTTATAAATACTGTTAAAAATGCCTCCTGAAGTGGTGTAAATTTACTGAGATGGAATATGCCAAATACATACAACTAATGCAATCTGCATATCCAGGTTGAAATCTGCATTTGTACTTGTGCACCTACTGTCACCACCACTAATTTTACCTCTAATAATTTAAATAAAATTGTCAATACAATTTTGTACTGACAGTCATCCCTACAAATTCATGGGCTTTCATATTCATGGATTTTCAGTGTCTAATGTTATTATTGAAAGGCAACAGGCTCACTGGCATTCTCACACCCAAACCTCTTTTATTTTGGTCTTTATTTCTTATGAACATTGATATTTTTTTTTAATTTTTTCAACAAACCGGCCGTATCCCACCAAGGCAGGGTGGCCCAAAAAGAAAAACAAAAGTTTCTCTTTTTAAATTTAGTAATTTATATGGGAGAAGGGGTTACTAGCCCCTTGCTCCCGGCATTTTAGTCGCCTCTTACAACACGCATGGCTTACGGAGGAAGAATTCTGTTCCACTTCCCCATGGAGATAAGAGGAAATAAACAAGAACAAGAACTAGAAAGAAAATAGAAGAAAACCCAGTGGGGTGTGTATATATATGCTTGTACATGTATGTGTAGTGTGACCTAAGTGTAAGTAGAAGTAACAAGACGTACCTGAAATCTTGCATGTTTATGAGACAGAAAAAAGGACACCAGCAATCCTACCATCATGTAAAACAATTAGAGGCTTTCATTTTACACTCACTTGGCAGGACGGTAGTACCTCCCTGGGCGGTTGCTGTCTACCAACCTACTACCTAGAACATTGATATTTATCAGATTAAAATGATAGTGAGAAACAGATGATCTCACAAGCAGTAAATGAGCCCAAATCTGCAACAAAAACTTTTATGCAGACTTAATTTTGTGTTATTCTCAGTTCCTACTTTTGTGGGATCTTTAGGAATGTAATCCTTAATAAACTTTGTAAGGCTAACTGTATTTACCACATTGCTCCACTGCTTTTAACCATAAAGTTATTGTTGTACTATATAATATTAATAGATGGGCTCTGGGTATGATAATTTCATGCCTAAATGTATAGGGGATATGAAAAGCTCCATAATTTAAGTAAAAAAAAATTCAAACCTATCACTCAAACCAGAAAAGAATTTATTAAATATTTTCTAATAGACTTCTACAAAGTACATTTGTAAATTTTAACAATTAACTCTTAAACTGTCTAAACATAGATCAACGTTCACATGTGTACCACTGAATATTTTGGGAAAAAAATTTTTTTTTTTTTTTAAATGAAGAGAACATTTTTCCCGGCATCCCCTAATTTTGTCATACTGCACACACTGAGTGCGCAGACTCATTCTCTCATGTCTAGGCAACTCAGGCTTATAGTGCCAAGGTTGAAAGCATGTAAAATAAAATGTTGAGCTATGATTGGAGCGCTGCGCACGTGAACGTAGCTCTACGTTTGGACAGTTTACGGGTTAATAAGTAAATCCGGTAAATTACTACAAATTCGAATGTTCCCTAAATTCTTGGGTACCATATCTAGAGATAAGATAAGATCTTGTGATGTTATCTTAAATTTTTATAGGAGAAAGTAGAAAGCTAGCAAAAGGCCTTAGTTAAATGACCAAATGTTGTGTATCATATGTCAAAGACCCACCTCTGGAGAATTTTCTAATATTTTCCTGATAAACAAAATACGTACAGTGACTAACTCATGACTAGCATAACCTGGACAACAGCAGAAGCAAATGATAAGTTCCAATGCATAATATAACTTTTAACAAAGGAATTACTAATAAAAGTGGAATGAAACAGTGTCTGATAATTTTTAATAAATTATTATATTTACCTGTGGTCCAACTTAATGACATCATTTTTCGAAGTTCAAGAACCTTATGTAATTTACCCCAGTATGGAGCAGCAACAGGATTGTGGATCTTACGGCTTGTAGCTGGAGCCATCCATGGTTTAGTCTTTCGGGTATTATACTGGGTAAGTAGGGTTTTAAACTGCTCAAAGACTTGATCTTTGGTGTACCTGTTAGAAGAAATGCATATTAAAATTACAGTACTTTTATAAGCAACTGTGACAACTCCCACTCTGTATCAGATTTCTTATTTTAACAATGACTATTATGTTTACAAATTTTTAACAGGGAAGTGGAACAGGATTCATCTTCCATAAGCCATGCATGCCATAAGAGGCGACTAAATACTAAATACTAAAGTAACCAGGTCTGAACACCAATTTAAGGCTCTTCTCAAAAACCACCTACTCACCCTAAACTAAATACTCAATACTTAATATTTAACTTTACCAAAAAATTACCTAAATCTTAAAACTTCAAACCTAGATGCCCAATGTTCATACATTATTAATACTACATTGTAGTATAAGTACCTACCCAAAACAATACTGCCTTACACCCAACTGTAGCATTCTCATACTTTAAACTACTTTCAACAACTTGCAATGTTATACAGTGGAACCTCGGGTTACGAATTTAATCTGTTCTGTGGACTTGTTCGTATCCTGATTTGTTCATATGCTGGGTCAATTTTCCTCATTTCAATTAACTGAAATGCAATTAATTCATTCCAGCTGAATTCCTGCTCTCGGGAGGCACAACAAAATAACCCTAATATCATCTCTATGGCTTATTTATCTGTCACAATTCATCTAATATGACAAACAATATAAATAACATAGAAACCTGATATACACTCTAGAATGAATAAAATATGTCATTACATGGACGGTGGAGGGAGGAGGATTGTGGTCGGGAGTGGTTGCACATTCTTGCTATGAAAACGTCAGAGGTGTTATAAGAGAAAATGGAGTTTGTGAGGCTAACTGAATTAGATCTGGTGTACATACGGCATTTACATACCTTGGAGAAGAAATGCAGAGCGGCATATCCTGTCAGTGGTTCACACTTTTCTTAAGAACTGCCCCTCAAGGAAGGCTCCTTGATGATGGTGAGGGGCTCTTGATTTAGGGAATTGTATCTGTGCTCCAGTTCCCTGAATTAAGCCTGAATACCTCCCCCCCCCCCGGCACTGCATAATCCTACAGGTTTAGCACTTCCCCCTTGATTATAATAATAATAATAATAATAATAATAATAATAATCTTAAGAACTGTTATGTACAATTTTTATGTTTATCTCACTACACTACACATCTCCTGTGAGCTGTTTCTCGTCAAACATGTCAACAGCAGCTTTTCCATCTTTTCATTGACAGAGGTCCACTGCTTAGAAATTACTGTAATGCCCTTTGCTGGGGCTACAGCCTTTATAGACTCCTCCTGCTTTAGTATTGTACATATAGTAGAGGGGCTACGCTTGTACTCAACTCGCTAAGTCCTCAACCCTCGTACCTAGTCTGTGCTTATTAACCCGTAAACGGTCCAAACGTATATATACGTTTTTTCAACATTTGAAAGTATGTAAAAAAAGTAGATATTTTTTCTTTTGTACATTTGAAAATGTGTAAAAAAAACTTTGATCTACTTTTTTTTTTGTTATATTTGAAAATATGTAAAAAAAAACGTAGGTCTACTTTCGGAGCACTACACATGTGAATGTAGATCTGCTTGGACCGTTTACGGGTTAATCATTTCTTGCTTTAATTCCATGCAAATCATCCTCTTTTTCTTCTCAGCACTGTCCATTTCACTTGCTTTCTTAGGACCCATGGCCAGAAGAAAGAAATCTGGTGGATTAACTGCACAAAACGTAAGGAAATCACGAGAATTCCTTGCACCGCGAGGGTAACTCCATAAGCACATGTGTACTGGTGACCATTGTTTTGATTGACACTGCTGTCTGGTGGTGGTGTTATCAAACTAAATTATACGCAGTACGTATATACATGTACTATTATTATTATAATTATTATTGTATGTATTATTATATATTATTATACATGTATTATTTTATTATTATTACATACTATTATATTATTATTATATTATACATAATTATCATTATGTATTATCATTATTATAATAATAACAATAATAATAATAATAATTATTATTATTAATTTAGGGACCTGGAGCACAGATTAAATTCCCTATATCAAGAGCCCCTCACCACATACATACGTATGTAATACTACTACTACAACTACTATTACTACTACTACTAATAATAATAATAATAATAATAATAATCATTATTATAACAAAAATAATAATACAATATAATAGTAATAATAATAATAATAACAGTAAGGAGAAACTTCAAAAGCTGCCAGTAGTTGGCACCACCATCAGCAAAACATTGGTAACTACTACTAGTACACTTTGCACCTGTTTAGACTTAAGTAGTCTTAAGTAGGCATTTCTGCTCGAAATGCCTCGGCATAATAGTGGCTTTCTTTGTTCCAGTCATATTATGATATGTAAACACACATTGTAACCTTTGCAATGAAATATATATTTTATTTATTTATTTATTTAAGGAACCTCCCTTGAAGGTGAAGTTCGCATCCTGAAATTTTTTTCATATCCTGAAGCAAAAAATTGACCGAACGACAGTTCGTATCCTGAAAAATTTGCATGGTGGGGAGTTCAAAACCCGAGGTTCCACTGTATTCCCATAATTTAATTTCAATATTCATTACTGAAACTACTGTAATTAGAGTAAAATTACCGACTGCTATAAAAAAAAAAAGATGTACAACTTTACCCTTTCACTGTTGCAAGCCCGTTTCTGAAACTGTCATTCTATGTCGCAAAATTTTTGGAAAAAAAAAAACAATTATTTTTTCTTATGAAATGATAGAGAATCTTTTCCCGATGATAATGACACCAAAAGTACGAAATTTGGTCAAAAACTCACGGAATTACGCTCCCGTGAAGTTAGCGGTCTCGGCGACATATACGCATTGGCGATTTTGCCGACTTTGAGCCCTGTTTTTGACCAGTTCCGTTGTTCCAGTTGACCAAACTCATAACTATTTCTTTAGAACTCCATTTTTTCTATCAATTGAGTACAAGAAACCGCCCAATTACCTATTTGAACTACCCAATAAAGTGGTCAGAAATTGGCAATTTGGCCAATTTCACGCAAATTAAAAAAGATGCCAATTTCAAAATAGGGTCCAGAATAAACAATGTAGACATTCTTGGCACTAAAATAACATATCCTCTGTTCATTAGTCATGTCTCTAGGCCCCTCTTATATTACTATTGCTTTCTATTTTGATTTTTTATTCATACAAAAAATACAAAATTTACTGTTATGCAGAGTACTGCATTATTATAAAAATGGTATAAATAATATCAGTGCACTAATGAAAGAATATTAGACTCCCTAGTTGACGTGTATTGGATGTGTGGTGTGATTTGCTTACTCTTGAACATTGGTAAAAATCGAACATTTCCGCTACTTTGAGCTCAATTCCAAGGTCGTTTTCATCGAGAAAGTAATCAAAATCATCTCTATTTCTGTAATGTGTTTTCCATTTTGTCACTTGAGACCATGAAAATGAGAATAAAACGATAAATACTATACAAAAATACACCTCAAAGTCAGCGTTTTAATCCAAAAAAAACGGTCAGTTTTTTTTCTCATTATGCACCGTGTGCTGCAGGATTTTTTTTATGTGGTGCACACTGACCACACAGACCCATTCTCTCACATGTGGGCCTACCAGCTTTCTCCTGCTTGATTTGAAGCCACTAGAATTTACACGTTTAAATACGTCCGAAACAGTGGCGCGTAAGACGTATATATACGACTGAAACAGTCAAAGGGTTAAACAAGCTATGATCAATTTCTTTAGTATTAAATAGTCTGTAAGCCATTAAATAAAATATACTCATAATGCCTAGGCATGATAGTGGCTCTCCTTGCACTGTAATCTTGCAAAGAAATAAAATTTGTTTGTTTGTTTGTAAAATGCCGGGAGCAAGGAGCAAATCACAATTGTAATTACACATTGTAACCTTTACAAAGAAATAAACTTTACTTTACTTTATTTTACTTTTTGGGCCACAATTCTTCGGTAGGATATGGCCAGTTTGTTGAAAGAAGAAATTTTTAATGGATTGTCATGTATGAACATAAGAAAATTGTTCACTGTTGTTACTGATGTCAGCTTGATCTTAATAACAACAGTGTAATGACTTGTTAACTACTTTGGAGCCCTTGCAGAGGAATTCTTAGTATCACCTCTGGTACCAACATCATCTGCCACACTGAATCCCAACACTATTTAACTTCTTGTCTTGATCAAAACATTTCTTCAAAGGAGTCCCATTGTTACTGTGGATAGTTTAATTCTCACTTTATTGTGGAGGACTATAACCTAACACAGGCTATGCAATGACAGCTTACCACATTTAGTGCATTTACCTGAACAGATGGTTAAAACAGGAATCTCTGACTCCCAATATGCATACTAGGAGTGTTGTAAGAGCAGTCCAATACATGTATATGAATGAAAGAAGGATTGTCTAAGAGCATGAATAAGCAAAAATGGGAGAAGACTATATGAAATATAGGAAAACAAGCCTGTTGAAAACAGTGGGTAAAGTGTATGGTAGAATTATTATTAAATGTTAAGGATAGATAAAAACTAGTATTATAGAGGAACAAAGGAGATTTAGGAATGGTAGGATATGTGAAGATTAAGTGTTTACATCAAAGATTATAAGTGAACAATGTTTAGTCAAGTGTAAGAAACTGTTTGTCGTATTTATGGATTTAGAAATAGCATGTGATGAGGAAACAGGGTAGCAATGCAGCATATGTTTCAATATATGAAATAGGTTGTAGGGGACTAAAAGTCAATAAAGAACTTTCATGCAAAGCGAGACTCAGGTTAAGGTATGAAGGTTAGGGTATGTAAAAAATGCCTTAGACAGGAATGTGTGATGTCACCATAATTATCTAATATATTTATAGACAGGGTTGTAAAAGAAGTAAATGCTAGAATGTTGGGGAGAGATGTGGAATTAAAGGAAAAAATAATGAATCTGATACAAAGTGGGAGTCATCACAGTTGCTCTTTTCCTATGAAACAGTTACTCTGGGAAATTGTAAAGAGATACAGAGTGCATAGGTTGGCAAATGATTTTGCAGTGTATAAAAAAGAAAATTAAAAGTGATCATAGGAAAAAGTAAAATGATGGGAGTAACCAAAAAAAAGTCTAGGCAATGAAAGATTGGGTATCAGATTAGGGAGAGGGCTCATGGAGGAAGTGAATGTATTTAAATACTGGGAGTAGACATGTTGGAATGTAGTCTGTTAATGAGGTGAACCACAGAATGAAGGTGGGGGGAAAAAAGTAAGTGATGTATTGGGTTATTGCTAGGTCTGTTTCAATCACTGGGGTGCCCTAAACCATAACCAACCATTCCTGGTTATGTTTTATTA